AGCTTCTTAGTGCTGTGCTTTAACCCGCTGTGCCACCAGGGAGGGCCAAAATTAATTTTTAAAAAAGATTTATTTTTATTTATTTATGTATACAAGAACTGGCATGTAGGCCAAAGTATGGCGGAGAGAGAACAGTGAGAGGATTCACCAGAGATCAGCCTGTTCTGCAGAGATCTACTGAAATCCACTGCTGAGGGCAGCAGCGGGCAAGACAGGAGTGGTGTGCTGCACCCTGTGGGTCAGCTTCCTGACTGGGGATCCAGCTCATGCTGTAGTGGCTGGTGTTGGCTTGACTAGTGCCGAGACTTGAACCCTGCACCACTAAGGAGGTCCATTTGGACCAAAATTTATCGCAAACTTTTTAACCATTACTTATGCCATATGGCAATAATGTAAATTTATCTTTCTGAGAAAGATGCACAAGATCTTAGGGAAACTTGGATGACTGTTTCAGTGGAAGACCTATATTGTCATTGTTAGGCCGGTCTGGCAAGGCAGGACAGGGCAGGGCGGGGGTCAGAAGGGCGCCCTGACCTTGTGGCCTGCTGATAGCATCTAGGAGGAGGCAAATATCAACACAAGGACCCCACCCACATTCCTGTTTGTGCCGGTTGAGGGGCTCCTGGGCCTTGACTTCCTCATCTGTACATTCCACCTCAGCTGTTCAGAGCTGTGACCCTTCCTCCCCCACTGCCCTTTGGTATAAATTTTCACCCTCTGCTCCCTTGGGTGCAGTTTCCTTGCTTCCTGTCCCGCCCAGCAACTGCCCTCAATAAACCTCTCTCCTCTAAGTCTGCTCCTGTGGGCTCCATGGGCAGCACCTTATAATCATCTTAAAGCAAAGATGAATTTTTATTGTGATTGATGGAGGAATTGCCCAGAGCCTCCTGGAACAATAGCAATTGAGGCAATAGCTATTTGGCAAGGAAAACTATGTTAACACCACAGGTATTAAATGGAAATAGAAACTGAAAACAAAAAAATGAATCCATCTCAACGAAAGACAAAGAGCTGCTTTTGATATGGGTACCGATGTAGGATTTTACCAGATAAAGGCTTGTGGCAGGAAAATTTCAACCTAGATACAAACTAGAAAAAGAGCAGGAAACAGATGGCAGAAATCTAGGACTTGAATTTACAATTCAATCTGAAACTGATAAGGGGTTACTCTCTAATGGTATTTCTGCCCTCTGCTGATTAAAACAAGGAAAGCAGATCCATTAAAACACAGAAAAATCTTACATCTTGGAGGATCAAGCATCCTGAGATTCTGATAAAACATATAGACTTATCCAGAAATAGTACACATAATATTTCAGCTGCTCCATGTAATTAAAAAAACTTTTCCTATAAAATCATGTCCCCTCATTTTTTTTTGTCTGTTTATGTCTCTGTGTTGGTTGGTATAGGTGAATTCTTTTGCAATAATCACATCGCTTTAAGATGCTCTTTTCTCACACCATCTATTTCCCCTGGTCCCTATGGCGATCACGTATCTATTTTCTGCCTCTGGATTTTCTTATTCTGGATCCCAACAATGGTGAAGCTGTGAAAAAATGAGTTTGGAGATTCCTCAAATCTTATGTAGAATTTAAGAAGTTCTGATGTAGTTTTTGGAGATGAGTTTGGAGTGTGGGGTCATTGGGTTCCTTCTGGGAAAGGTTTCCCCAGAGCTCCCCTTTCAGCAGCACACAGGGAGTTTCCCAGTTGATTTTTTCCACGAGACAGAGACATCAGTTATATTTAAAAAGCAGGTTTATTAGAAAAGGGACAGAAAAGAGAAGGACACTTGTATCGGTACAAGTGGACAGGAAGAGCTGCCCCGAAAGGGACAGGTTTGCTGAGAGAGGCTTGCATGGCTTTAGGCTGGCCACCTTGAGAGCTGCCCGTCTAATTCAGGGGATGGGGGACAGGGGTCAGTGAGGAGAAGTCTGGGCAGGCACAGGTGATGGGCAGGCAGAAGGCTGTTGCCCTGTGAAGGGAGCAAGTGGGTGAAAAGAAGCACCTGCATAGTCACAGGTGGGCAGAGGACTGTGGTTCCTCTGAGGGGGCAGTGCTGGCTTTCATTGTCTTCTTTAGGTAGGGAGGGACTCGGGTGATGGCTTGTTCCTTAATCCCCAAATCTTCACCTTCAGGTCCTAGCTTTTGATACTCCCTACAGCCATCTGGTAGTTTTTATAGCTGGATTAATGACTATGTTAATCCCTTCTACCCCCATCTCCTTGTATGAGATAGGTTTCTGACCTTGTTGCGTCCTTTCCAGTTTTTCTATTCATCTCCATCAGTTCCACTTCTGGATATGTATGCTAAGGAATTGAACGGAGGGGTGGGATTAAACAATTTATTTGTATTCCTATGTCTGTAGCACTATTCATAGAGAGTTTCCCAGGTGAGTTTGGTATCATTACATGTTGTGGTATCATTACTAAATTTGTAAACTAAGCCCAGGCGTCCCTGGTAGCCCACAGGGTTAAGTTTCTACTCTGAAATTATCTGCAGCCACTGCAGCACAGGTTGATTCCTTTGCCTGGGAGGTGGCTGACATGTGCAACAGATTCTCCTGACCGGCCCACTGCTCTTCAGCAGTGAATTTCAGTCAGCCCGTTCTGTTCCCCATTCTCTCTGGTGAATCCTCTCACCGCCCTCCACCTCTCTGGCCTGTACCCCAGTTCTTGTACGCATAAATAAATAAATATTTAAAAAGGAAAAAAATTAAGTCCCTACTCCTTGCCCAGCAGACAAGATTAGGAGGCTGGTAAAGGGAGTGGCTGGGGCTGCCGCAGGGATCTGGGCATTAAGCTGATGATCCCAAGAGCGGATGATCACTGTGCTAATTCAGATCATCAGCCAAGTCACACCCAAGATGGTCACCCCAGCCCTTCAATGAGGCCTGGAGTATAACTGGAGCCTCAGGACTCTAACTCTGTATGAGGCCGATTCTGGGTCTTGCCCACTGTTTTACTTATAGTGTGTGTGTGTTTTAAAGAGTTATTTATTTATGAATACAAGAACTGGTGTACAGGTCAGAGGTGTGTGTATGAGAGTATTCACCAGAGACAGAGTTGGGAACAGAACAGGCCAACTGTTAGAAATATACAGCTGAGGGGAGCTCTGGGTGGGACAGAAGCGATCTGTCATGCCATGTGGGTCAGCTACCTGGCTGGAGGATTGAACTCATGCAGCCACGGACAGCTTTGTAGGGCTTTGCTTTAACCCAGTGTGTCACCAGGGAGGACCCTAAAGTGTTTTTTTTTTTTTTTTAAAGATTTATTTATTTGTGCATACAGAACTGGGCCAGAGGCCAGAGGCTCAGGGGCAGTGAGAAGCTTCACCAGAGACAGAGTGGGGAACAAAACAGGCAGATCGACGAAGTACACTGCTGAGGGGAGCAGCCGGCGGGTCAGGAGAGGTCTGCCACGCCATGTGGTCACCTCCGGGGCAGGCTGGGATCGAACTCATGCTGACGTGGCTTTAGCTTCTCAGTGCTGTGCTTTAACCCACTGCGCCACCAGGGAGGGCCCCTACAGTGTGTTTTAACAAATCTACCTGTTCTGTTCTGTTCTTCACTTATTCTCTGGTGAATTCTTATACCTCATATAAAAATATCATAAAACAACAACCCATCACATAAAAAGATGAAAACAATCCAGCAAAATGTAAGGATCAGGCACCAGCCAGACATAGGCACACGGAAGAGGCCGTTGCTCCCACAAAGCAGATATTCAGGAGTGACAACCTCGTGACTTGTTTGTCACACGGGTTACCCTGGCCATTTGTTTCTTCCCCTACCTAGGCCTACAGAAACCCCTCTGACCCCTATCTCAGCGCGACTTCTCTGATCTCAGCTCTCTCTGGGTCAGTGCCATTCACCTGGGAGCATAGAAATAAGCCTACTTTTGGTTTTACTGGCCTCGCTAGCTCCTTGTGTCCTGTGCCCAACCTTTCACTAAAGAATAAGTACAATTGGCTAGATTCACTGTCAAGGATGACATGGCATTTACCCTTAGATAGGAAATCTTGTCACATGCGACAATTTGAATTAACCTTTAGGCATTATGCTAGAAGTAAGTCAGTCGCAAAAGACAAATACTGTATGATTTTTAAAAAAAAATTATAATAGTTTATTTTTACATCATTTTGTGCCTTTTTCCATCTCAGTTGCAATCCCCTTGAGTTTCCCATCACCAAATCACCCATGTGCCATCACCATAGTCTGGTGCATTTCCCTCCCCCCACTGTTTTTGATCCCATTCCCCACTCCACCCCCACAAAATGTCTCTGATATATGACTGTTCATCATTATTATTTTCTCGCCTGTTCTGTTATATTCCTGCTATGAGAGAAACCATCTGGTATTTTTCCTTTTCTTTCTGGCTTATTTCACTAAGCATGATCTTTTCCAGCTCCAACCATGTTGCTGCAAAAGACATGTGTTTCAAAGACTGTATGATTTTTATGATGAATTATCTAAAGCACTTAAGTTCATGTAGGCAGGAAGTAGAAAGGTGATCACAGGAGTTGGGGAAGGAGGAAAAGTTGGTCCTTGAGAGCTTGTTATCTAATTTTCCAACATAAAACATTCTGTAGGGCTCTTTCCCAACAGAATGAAGACACTTAGCACTACTGAACTGCACATGTAAAAATGTTTAAGATGTTAAAAAAATTCCATCATCTCAGACAACACTTCAGAGACCAGATGTGTGGAGCTTCTCTCACCAAGCAAGACTCTGGTTTTCTGCACGCAGCAGCTGAGTGTCTTACAGTTCAATTAAGTTTTGCCATAATCTCTTAGAATAAACACATCATTTCTGATATCAGTCTAAGTCTAGATTGCTACCTGTTCTTTGCACCACCTGTTTATAAATCCAAGATTCCCAGATCTGCCCCTTGGCATTCAATTTATTTCCTATAGAAGCACACACAACTCAAGAACATACTTTACCTGCTAGATTACCAGTTTATTACAAAAGATAATGAAGGATATGAATAAATACTCAGATGGAGAAAACATAGGGTAAGGTTTGGTAGGATCCTAGAAGCTTCAATCTTTTGGGGTCAGGAGAGCATCACCCTTGCCACACTGTGATGCCTTATTGCTCACAATTCAGAATGTCTCTGAATTCCTCCTTTTGGATTTTTATGGAGGCCTCTTTACGTAAGGGGATTGGTTAATTCATTTGCATCCATCCTGGGCTAACCTCTAACTCCTTCCCTTTTAGCGGAGATAATGGTGGGGTATTTCTAAAAGATACAGATGTCTAATCACAAGGTTTATTCCCCAGGTAACCAGACAACAGCTTTGAATTACCTCTGACTATCCAAAAGTCTCCACATTCACATAAAGTTACTCATACATAAAATCACTTCCAAATTCTTGGTCAATATTGTGAGATGATAGTTGTTTCTTGACAAAGCCACTAGGATCTGGGGTAATTTGTTATATCACCACAGAAATATAATACTTAGAAATATAGTACTTGGAAACAGAAGTTTCTGACATTTAATTTTCCTTTTTCTAAAGCCATATGTCAACATAATCTTTTCTGTTTTCTTAAACAACAATAATCAAAGTTTTATAGATGAAGTAATCTTAATACCACCCACAAAAATTAATTCAAATGGAATGAATACCTAAATAAATAATTTGAGTCCATAACACTCTTTTAAAAAAGAGGGATGAATCTTCCTTGGTGGTATGAAGTGTTGAGTATCAGCACTATGAAGCTATCCGCAGCCACTGCAGTATGAGATGGATCCCCCGCCAGGGAACAACCCACACGGCACTGCAGGCCTCTTTTGCTAGCCTGCTGCTCTCCACAGCAGTGCATTTCAGTCAATCCACCTGTTTTGCTCCCCACTCTGTCTCTGATGAATCCTCTCAGCGCCCTGCACCTCTGGCCTGCACCCTAGCTCTTATGTGCTTGAATAGGTAAATCTTAAAAAAAATAGGGACGGCTCTTGACATTAGTGTTTGCAGTGATTTATGGATGTGCCAGCAAAAGCCCAAGCATTGAATCAAAATAAACAAGTGGTGCAGCTGTAAACTGAAAGCTTCTATGCACGAAAAAGAAATGGTCAACAAAATGAAATGGCAAAATATAGACTGGGGGAATATATTCGCAAACCATATATCTAATAAAGAACAAGTATTCAAAATATATAATGAACTTCTACAACTGAATGGTAAAACAAGCAATAATTAAATTGCAAAGGGAACAAAACCCTTTTCTTATTGATAAGGGATTGGTACCAGTCTTTATGATGTGAATATTGATTTATCCAATCTGTAAAATAGAAAATAGAATCTTGATAGTGGTTGCACTGAATTCTTAGATGGCTTTGGGTAGCATGCACATTTTAACAATAGTAGTGCTTTCAATCCATGGGAATCTTTCAACTTATTTGTGTCTTCAATTTCATCAATGTCTTATAGTTTTCAATGTACAGATTTGTTATCACCTTGGCTAAATTTATTCCTAAGTATTTTACTTATGTTTTTTGATGCTCTAATACATAGATTTCCTCTTAGTTCCTTTTTAGATAATCCATTTTCAGTGTATAGACACACAAACAGAAAACTTCTACTTTCTTCTTGTGTTCACCATGTAGAGTATCATCGTTTCCTGTTCAGGATGCATACACACCAAATCGTTCCATTGAAGTCACAGGAAGTTGCAGTAAAGGAGTAAATGGAAATCATATCCTACAGCTAAAAGGATATGTGGTGGAAACATCTTATAATGGCAATTTTGAGGAGTAAGTGTGAACAAATTAATTGACTTTTGATGTACTCTTGAAATCTTGAAACAGGAAGGGAGATCCTGAAATTAAAAACAGAAATTAGGATCTTTTTCTTAATATTATTATTACCACTAACATTTAAAGACATCATAAGGAACCATTCAACATAAATACACACCTACAGCCTTCAGTCCAGGACATAAAGCAATACAGAGAAAGATCAGCAGTTCTCAAGAAAGGATGAGTTATGCTAACAATAAAAACCACTGTAGAATTACAATGGGTTTGGCCATATCCTAGACCCACCTACCCATTCCCTTCTCCTATTTAACTCCCACAAAAAGGTGGTTTTGTTTCCACATTTCCAGAGATGGGTAAGCTAGCTAAAGAACTGAAATTCCACGTATGTGGTAAAGAGGAGGTAAGGAGAGTCTATGTCAAAAGTTCAGGAGAGAGAGAAGACAGAAGAAGGATGATGCTCTGTGGATCAGAATCTTTAGCCTTGAAAGTGACTTACTAGAAAAATGCAGCGGAGTTCTAGTGCATACAGATTCATAAACCCAGGTGGGAATATTGGACAGCAACCTTCATTCCCTGATGGGTGGTTCACAAAATTCCTCCAGCAGTGGTGATAGTCTAAGGAGCACACATCAACAAACACAACAAAATTGTAGGCAAAGAGGGTCCACGTTAACAATGTATCAGAGAGGGCCCTCCCTGGTGGTGCAGTGCGTTAAAGCACAGTACTGTGAAGCTGGCCACAGCCACTTCAGTGCAAGTTCGATCCCCCGCCCCAGAGGTGACCCATATGGCCCAGACCTCTCCTGACTCACCCGCTGCCCCCCTCAGCAGTGTACTTCGTCAATCTGCCTATTCTGCTCCCCACTCTGTCTGGTGAATTCCTCTCACTGGCTCTGCACCTCTGGCCTTGTATCCCAGTTATGTATGCATAAATAAATAAATATTTTGTAAAAAATGCGTCAGATAAAGAACCCTCTTGCCAATTAGCTGCTACAGCTGGAGAGACTCCCCTGGAACAATAGGAAAAGCCATACTAGCTCATTTACAGAGAGCTGGAGGCCTCCCTGGTGGGGAAATGGGTAAGGATGCAGCACTGCAAAGTAGCACAGCCGCTCAGTGAGAGTTCAATGCCCAGTCTGGAGCTGACCCACACGGCGCAGCAGACCTCTCCTGACCCCCCCACTGCTCCTCTCAGCAGTGTGCTTCGTTAATTTGCCTGTTTTGCTCCTCATTCTGTCTCTGGTGAATCCTTGCACTGCCCCTGCAGCTCTGTATGCATAAATAAATAAATCTTTAAAAAAATTTCCGGTTGAAAAAATAAATAAAGATAGCTGGGTGGCCAGAACAGTGAGGGTGGAGAAAGGAGTCAGAACTTTGATCTTGTCCTTGCTATGAATTTCACACCGGCTTCTCTCTCTTGATTCTTTTCAGTTTTCACTTCTGACAGTGGGGGAGAATCACTCTCCTGGCCCAGAAACAAACTACCAGCACATGTCTCAGAGCAACTTAAGATTCTTCACTGTGGTGCAATGCGTTAAAGTACAGCATGATGAAGCTATCTGAAGCCACCTTATCACAAGTTCGAGCCCCAGCCAGGGAGCATGACCCCATATGGCATAGCAGACCTCTCCTGACCTGCTCACTGCTCCCCTTAGCACTGTATTTCAGTCAATCTTCCTGTTCCATTCCCCACTCTGTCTCTGGTGAATCCTTTCACCTCCCACATTGCTGGCCTGTACCCCAATTCCTGTATGCATAAATAAATAAATGTCAAAAAAAAGATTCTTCCCTGCTTTTACCTGGGACTCTCATGACCTGGATGAGTACACCTCTATTTCTGAGGTCCCTGAGTCCTTGCCGGTTCCCTTCATCCAGGTGATGGTAAAGCCGGGCGACGTTTATGATTAGAGTCACATTAGGGTGTTGACTCAAAAATTCTCTAATAACTTGACAGCACTGGGAACATGGGCTCCAGGACAAGAACCAGACGATGGTGCAGTAAATAGTTAAATGAAAATCTGCAGTAAACTTTTCTGTAAAATTGACTTCAGCGTGTTTTGTGGTGTTGTTGACTAAGTGTCGCCAGATCTTTGGGCTCCTTCTCCAGTGGATTTCATAGAGCAGACAGGTCTCTTTGCGGAGTTGTGTGGGGTCAAAGAAGGCTGCAAATTCCCAGGGTTCAATTCTCCTCCTGAAATAGAAAGAACACTCCTTGTTTTCATGCCATCTTAGTGGGACATCAGAACTCAACTTCATACTCCCACTCCTGTCAGGAGTTCTATAACTTGACATCCCTACAGAAGTTGACAAACCCTAATTAAAGGGAGATTTACAAATAGGTACTGGAAAAAAATAAGCTATGACAGCTCAGAAAACTTTTTTCTTTTTCTCTTTTAACCTGTAAGTTATCCAGGAGCCCCTTTGAAAGACCATCACAAACACTGATGAGATCTTGCCCCATTGCTGTGTGTGGTTCCCCCCGTACACATGGCCTGGGCTCCTGTTCATGTATCAGTCTTCTTTCTTTCTCCTACAAGGTTGCTCACGAGCTCACCTTTTTATCTCACACCTAGAGGTGCTGTGTCCCCATCATTCATTTCCTCTGACTAGGTTTTCTTTAGTGTGCACCCTCAAATTGCCAACAAGAATCTATAGTCAGGGTCTCTCTGGTGGCACAAAGGGTTGAAGTGCAGCACTGTGAAGCTCTCTGAAGCCACTGCAGCACACGTTCCATCCCCAGCCAGGGAGGTGACCCACATGGCACAGCAGACCTCTCCTATCCCACCTGCTACCTCTCTCAGTAGTGTGTTTCAGTAGATCCACCTGTTCTGCTCCCCACTTTGTGTCTGGTGAATCCTCTCACCCATCCCCCTCAGCTCTGGCTTGTCTCCCAGTTCTTGTATGCATAAGTAGATGGATCTTAAAACAAAAAAGCTATTGGGCCCTCCCTGGTTGTGCAACAGGTTAAGGCACAGCACTATGAAGCTAGACACAGTCACTTCACCATTTCGATCCCTGCCCAGGGAGGTGTTCCACATGGCATCGCCAGACCTCTCCTGACTCACCCA